CGCGCTCCCTACAAAGTTCATTCCCACTAACTCTTTTCCAGGCCACTTCCCCCTCACATCTGACAATCCGGGGCCCCTCATTCTCCCAGTAATCACTCCACTGCACTAATTGCACATGCAAATATGCAAATGCGTATTAATTAATTACTATACTAATTAGTTCTGTGGTATTTGCGAGTAATAAATCATTGGATGGGAGCGAGGAAGCTGGAGACCTGGCCCATTTTCATTCTGCATAAAATTTTAATGGTCTCTCTGGCTGATCCGGGACGGCGCGGGCCGGGGACGCGGCCCCAGACCTGGCAGAGGCGGGTCTCCAGCGAGGGGTCAGCTTTTCCCCCGCCCCTCCTGGGCTTAGTGTCCTCTGTGCGGCTTCCGAGGAGAGAATCCGGTGGGGGGAGGCGGCTAAGCTGGGTTTCTTTAAGAAAGGAAAGAGGGCAAGGAGCTGCGAGAGGCCAAAGCCAAGGCCTTGGGGCAGGGGCGAGGGAGAGGGGGAGGGAACAGAAGGGAAGACGCCACCTGCAGGACGGCCGAGGAAACCGGGCGCTGGGCAGGCCCAGCTCCGCTCTCGCCCTGTGCGTCCGCAGGGGAAGGAAGTTCCGAGGTGTCCTGGATGCCCCAGTCCTTTCTTGTCTCTGGGGTGGGGGGGGCCCTCCAAGGCTCGGGGTGCCTGCAGCTTTCCCTTTCCACTTGATCAAACTGCCGCCCCGCCCCCATGGGCACCAGCTGGCACCCTGGCAGAGCAGTCCTAGGCTTGAGTGGGCCCCCGGGACCCCGCTTTATTTCCAGGAGGTAGTCAGGACCTGGGCAGAGGGAGGAGGCTGGCTGCTCTGCAGGGCCATTGACTCAAAGAGGCGGAGGGGTGTGCCTCCTGATGGCGCCCCAACCAGAGCTAGGGGGATGCCAGAGGTGGGAGCGCTGAGGAAGTGGAGGCTGCGGGCCTGCCCTGAGCCGAGATCCCCAATACCAGGGTCTCCAGTCTGGGTGTGCTCACCCCTGCCAACCTCTGCCACCCACGAGCCCCTGGGTGGAGCAGAGCCCGAAGAGCAGCAGGGCTCCAGGGGGGGGCAGACAGTCACAGCAACTAGCCATACTGTGGGTTCGGGTAACACTCCCTTAGCTGGAGGACTATTCCAGAGCTCTAGGCTCTCACAGACACCCACTGCCGTAGGCTCTGTTGAGGCCCCCATCTTAGGGACGAAGGAACCAGAGCTCAGAAAGGTTAGAGCCAAGGTCACTCAGCTGGGAGCCGTGGAGTGGGCTTTGAACCCAGACAGTCCAGCTCTGGCATCTTTCCACCACACTCGGCCACCTGTCCTTCCACCACCATGTCCTCAGCACCTGCTGAGAGCCAGGCCTGATGCTAAGAGCTTCATGGTTCCTGGGCAGCGTCGCGTTCAACCCTCACAACACCCGCAGGCAGCTTCTGGGATTCTCCCCATTACAGAGCTGGGGACCCAAGGCCCAAAGAGGCCAACCGACCGAATTGCTCTGTGCACACAAGGAGGATATGGCAGGGCCAGGCTCACATTGGCCTCTGACAGAAGAGCCCAGCAGGCTCTCTGATGCCTCCCCATCCCCATTGCCGGGGGTGGGGGAGGGGCAGGAAAGGGTCAGGGCAGCCCCTATTGACTAGAGAACAAGAGAAGAAATGGAAGGATTTCCATTAGACAGACTGTGGGAGGAACTTAATTCTTTTTTTAAAAAATGT